CCAAGCCATAACAACGTCTGGAACTCAGCGCGTGTCCCGCGCTTTGCCAACCCCAGCGCGTCTCTATGATCAACACTGGCGGCATATAATCGGCTCCAGATCACGTGGCCGCTTGTTCTGGGTGCGAGTTGTGGGGTGAACGCTGCTCGTTTTTCTTAAATTTTTTTCTGGGACTTCTATTGCGTGGGGTGAAAAACGAACGCGTGTTTCAGAGGTCATTAACGTTAGGGATCTGTTTTAAGCGGTATTTGTGCACAGTACAAAAATTGTTGCATCGCTCTTTTAAATTATCTATATAAGTAAATATTTTTTTCTGTACGTGAACACCAATCGTCACTCTTCATTTAATGAGTTTACACGACGAGAGGTGTGTAAGTATTAAGCTCTAGTAGTCATTTGATTTCCATAGAAAAATTTTTCCGCTTGATTTAGCGGGGAAGTTTTTCCGCTAGATTTAGCGGAGAAATTTTTCCGCTAGATCTAGCGGGGAAATTTACTCATAATGCACCGCGCAGTTACGCCGACGCCGACGCCGACGCCGACGACGACGCCGCTCAAGCCGGAAACGGGCGCCTAAGAGCTGCGCTCTAAAAGCGATGGACACCTTCTTGAGATTGAGTCTGCTTGACCGTTGATATAGAACTAATCAGCGGTGTTCGGGGAGCATAGTCCGGCGGTATGCTTGCAGGAGCTTTTCTGAGTGCTTACGATATTCGTCATTTGCTGCCAGTGGCGTACCAAATTGCTTTTGAGTGGGAAGCAAGCCACCCCCCCCCCCCCCCCCCCCCCCCCCCAGGGCCGGGGGGCGGTGCCATTGGTATCCCTTGGGCGCCGCCGGCCAGTGTTCGCTCTGCCCAGTGGCGCTGTTTCAGGGGGGGGGGGGGGGGGGGGTTACCAAAACGCAAGCCTTGCCCCCTCCCCCCAGTCCGAGAGCTGAAGTGGAGGGGGGGGGGGGGGGGGCAAGCGCCGCCCTGGCCTCCCCGGTTGTTTCTCCCATGATTGCTGCAACCCTTCTTTGGTTCACCATGATTGGCTATCTCCGTATCCTGCAGGAACGTGCACTCATATACTTCTTTTAAAGTCGGCGTAATTAGAATTTTGAGGTATCAGATACGTGTGTTTTGGACAGCGTGGTTGTCTCTGAGTAATATACATGCTCGGAGGTGAACATTTCCGTAAGCTATTATTCTCTTGGGCTGCGGCGGAGAAGAAATATTGCGCCAAAAATTAACATTCTTAATTATGCATCTGGCGATAATTGTAATTACTTCAAAACAATCGACTTTAGGGTCAGGCGTTCGTGTGTATAATTTGAGACGTGTGAAATGCACACGTGAAAATATCTATAACCGCTTTCACCCCAAAACCGTATGTAAAGACAAGTCCGGTTTCTCGCGGAGCATCACTACTTTGCTCCTTTATGAAGATAATTCAGATGTATGAGTGTTAATTTCAGATTAGATACATGTTATCTTATCAAGACGTACACCATTCAAACGCTAAAGGCATATCGCCTCTTCCCCCGACAACCAAATCTTGTATGAACTACTTTACACGGCGTACGAACAATGCGCAAAACTTACATTTTCCTGCGGTGTAATCAATAACTCATCTCGATGGAAATTTTGAGTGCGCGCGTAGTTCATACGCAATCAAAGTTATTGTCTGACGACCGTATATTTACCCTGTACCTTTTCGACACCACCATTCATTGGTGCTCGCAGATGAGACCGTCTGAAAATGTCATCAGGCAAAAATTTGGCTATCTCAACTTCGTCTCTTGACAAAGATATCGATTACATGCAATGACGACTGCGATCGGGGATACATTACCATCACGTACCAGAATGGCTTGATTACCTATATCTATATCATTTGCTTATTCTTCTGCTTTGATAGTAGTAAGATGAACATTTCTAGTCTTAGTATATTAGTGAACTCCTCCAAACGTTGTTAGTCAGCAACACGCAGCGCTCTAACTTCCTGGTGATGTTTTCAGAATGGCAGGTCAGTACAACTTTGTTTCGTTTTTTCATTGCTTTCTAATTAAACTTGGTATTTCAATATGTAGTCAGACATACACTAAATATTAAGTGTCTCAGTAGCGACGTCCTAAAAATCACAGTCTGATGCATCTGATCCATCAAAATGTACAGAGACAACGCGATGTCAGTCTATCCTAATAGCGGCTTGAATCAATTTACAGTTGACGGATTCGTTTTGTGTGCACTTCTTTTTTGGCGAACGAATATGAAGTATTACAGACATATCTGGTCGCTTCAGCGGTCGTAGAAAACCCGGTCTGTGGCTAAGGTCCGGTGGCCCTCGTCATATTTGGTCTCTTCATGCTATACTTCGTTTCAGCTTCGGTCCCAGCGCGGCCAATGTTATGAGCCGAAGGGCCAACCAAAAAGCGAATGAGGTACAACGTCATGGCGCGCTCTCTGCGGTTTGTAGGACCAACCGGTATTCGCCGTCTCTCTGTGCGTGCTCTTCCGCCGGCTAGTCCTATCAGGCGCAGAGAGGACGCCATCACGTTGCGCTTTTTACGCTGTTTTATTGGCCCTTCGGCTCATAACATCGTTCGCGCTTGGACATAAGGTAAAACGGAGCATAGTCTGAAGGAAAATTCCAATGCGTATCGCAAGACCGCGGTTAGTGGTATTTTTAATTCCAGGTACTCGCTTTCGGTTCACCATTTTAATATAGCTGTGCTGGGAGTTCTCTCTTGTACATAAAAAGTAGTACCGTGACTGGCTACAAACACTGATCTCTACTATAGGGGGCTGCATGACGCGTTCATCGCGAGGGACTGAAGTCACCGGAAGGAAGCGGCTTGTTCCGGAAGTGAGCGCTTGGCAGGCTTCGTAACCCTCCTGAGTGCTGGTTCGAAAAGCGTTGAGGGCGCTGGACTTTCACTTGTAACCTCAAGAGAGCCTGCTTGTTGCGCGTAAGAGCGCATTTATTAATCTTTTTCCCACAATACTCTCATTCTTTGGAAGGAATACAATAGGAGCGTCACAAAGCAACGCAGAATGAGCAATGATAAGACAACGCTGTCACGTTCCAATACAACGCTATGATAGGAAATACAGATCAAAATAGACATCAGAGCAAGGCAACGGTCAAGGCACGTTGAAAAGAAGAAAACTGTATGACAGTACATGCACAAACACAAATTCAAGCTCCCGCAGCACCAATGAAAACAAAAGGTCAATATCGACGTAGTAGTAATAGATAAGGTGCTGGTTCCCGCTAAAAAACAACCTATTTATACATAAGGTGCGAGTTAGTCTAAAAACAAAGAAAACATTATCACAGTCAACGACATGCCTTGGCACCTTGTTCCACTCCGATATTGTGCTTGTAAAAAAAGAGTATTTAAAGGAATTAATTCGGGGCCGGTGTTCAATAATCATTTTCGAGTGTGTAAATCTTCTATTTGTTCTAATCGCAAAAGTTACGATATGTCCTGTGTAATTCTAATGGGGTGGTTGATGATCTGGAAGAGGGTTTTAAGGCGGGCAATTTTTCTTCTAGTTTGCAACTGTATTAAATACGTTTGACACATTAGCTCTGAAAGGGAATGGTTACGTCATAATTTGTTTAACACAAACCTAAGTGCTCTTGCCTGAACCATTTCTAATTTGTCTATGTTCTCTTTTTGTGTGTGTAAAAATGGGTCCCACATAAAGCTCGCATATTCAAGAATGGGGCGAATTAAAACTTTATAAGCGAGCAGTTAAGTGGTAGGCGGAGAGTCTTTTAAGATTTGTTTTAAATACAATAATTTGTTGTTGGCTCTGCTTACTATGTAATCGATGTGGTTGTCCCCTTTAAGTTCCGAAGAGAAGATAAGTCCTAGGTTATTATATTTAGTTACGCTGCTAAGTTTAAGTGTGTCCGGACAACTCGCAGGCAAATACAAGCGGGGATTGTTTACGCGAGATCGCCATGCTGACACCTTTCTTTTCGTTTAATGCCATATTCCGATCATTGCACCAGTTATATATTTTTCAAGTTATTATTTAAGTTTATTTGATCATTCCTAGAGCTGGGCATTTGGTCGATTTACCTACCGATAATTCGATTAATGCTTTAATCGCGATTAATTTTTTAACCGGTTAATCGGTAATAATTTAACGAACCAAAATAAAGTAAAAAGTAAATGCTTTCACCACGCAGACGTGTACGAGAACACCTCTATGGAGGGCAAACTTTAGGTCAAAATTTAGCCTAAAGTAAACTGTAGGGGGAAGATTTGTAACTCCTGAAAAAGGTGCTGAAGGTTACACGTCTCCCGGCCACTTCAATAGCGTTTGAGTGTCCGTTTAGCGCAGCAGAGAGAGACTATAGTGCGAACAATCAAAGGAGGTCGCTCCTGCCACATAATATCACCGAACCTTTTACCTCATGCAGCTAAAGTAATAATGTGTGAGTGCCTCCGAACTGTTCTTCACTACACATTAAGTTTGATTCAAAATAAAACTTGTGTATTAAGCCCTTTACCTTGTGGACATCGCACGTCTAGTTTCGGTTTCGCCACACGTTTAGTTTCGGTTTCGCCTCCGGCGTCTGGCAACTAGAGCCTGCTGAGGTATGCCGCCGGAGGGCGCGGGCGTTTGAGTAAACAGTTTCGAGTTACACTTTCGGGATCGGAGAGACACGCCCGCACCGGGGCCAACGCGCTCATGTATTGCTGTACCTTGTGTAGTCAAGTATAATAAATAGTTTTATGTACCGGACATCTCTACTACATAATTGGTGACCCGGAGTTCCGGACAGCACACCCCGGTCACACGACCCCAAGCAACCACCGGTGAGCAAACATGACTTCCAGCAACGGTTCCGCGGCTGACACGGCCGCCCAGGCACCGCTTTCCCCCACCGTCTCCACCGTCGCTCTCAAACTTCCGTGCTTCTGGCCGGCGGACCCAGCCCTCTGGTTCGCGCAAGTTGAAGCCCAATTTGCGACGAGACGTATAACCTCCCAACAAACGAAATTTCACCACGTAATCGCCGCCCTCAACCCAACGGAAGCAGCGGAGGTGCGCGACATCATACTCTCTCCCCCGGCCGACCAGCCATTCGACCGGCTGAAACTCGAGCTCGTCCGCCGCACCACCCTCTCCGAGCAGAAGCGCCTGCAACAGCTCCTGACTGCGGAGGACCTGGGGGACCGAAAACCGTCCCAGTTACTCCGCGGGATGCGCCAGCTGCTCGGGGAGAAAGCTTCGACGGTCGACGACTCGCTCCTTCGGCAGTTGTTTTTGCAGCGCCTACCAGCTAATGTGTGCATGGTGTTGGCGGGTGCCGGAGACATGACGCTTGACGATCTCGCTGCCCTGGCGGATAGGGTAGTGGAAGTTGCGTCACCCAGCATCTCTGCCATCGACAGCTCGGTTCAAGCGCTTCCAGCCTCAAACGAAGTAAAGAACCTGGTTTCCTTCACGGAATTCAGAGCCCTGCGCGACGAGGTCCAGCGCATCGCGCAGTCACTTGCAACCCTGGAAAAACCACGGCCGAGACGCCCTCGCTCCTTTTCTCGCCCTCGTGGGTCGTCGCGCGCTGCTGAGAGTACTGGAGTTTGCTGGTACCACCACCGCTTTGGCGACGACGCCACCAAGTGCGTCCTGCCCTGCGCTCAACAGGGAAACACCCGGGCCACGCACTGAAAGCGGCCGGTGCCCCTGGCCGCCCGGCGCGCCGCTTTTCTCCATCTTTCACCTGCCCAACTAGCCAAAATGAGCAGCGGGGGGAGCCTTCAATGAACAGTTCTCATAATAACAAAATTAATTTGAAGAGTGAACATTTCGTGCCATCCCAAGCGCAAATTCAACCTGGAAAATTGTCTCACATATCAGGAGTGCCTTCTCAACCACGCCTATTTTATGTTGTGGACAAAGTATCCAAGACCCGCTTTCTGGTGGACACAGGTGCAGAGGTTAGTGCAATCCCAGCTTCCCGTGTCGATCGTCTGAGGCGCCCAAGCTACAACTTGCAAGCTGTGAATGCTACAAAAATTGCAACGTACGGCCAACGCTCTCAGACGATGGACATCGGTCTACGCCGAACTTTTCGCTGGGTTTTCTTGGTTGCCGACGTCAGTCACGCCATCCTCGGAGCTGATTTCCTCCGCCACTTCGGTCTTCTCGTTGACATGCGCAACACCCGGCTACGAGATGCCACAACGCTCCTGTCCGTGCACGGCATCGCAGAGGCCACGGGGGCGGTGACTTCAACACTACTTCGACCGCAAGTCAAGTCAGACTTCGAGGATTTGCTGCGTGAGTTTTCTTCCCTGACGTCTCCAGTGACCACAACTCGCCCCATAAAGCACAACATCACGCACCATATCATCACGTCGGGACCACCCGTTCATGCACGCCCTCGCCGACTACCACCTGAGCGACTGAACGTGGCTCGGCGAGAGTTCGAGCACATGCTTGAACTCGGAATCGTGCGACCGTCCTCCAGCCCATGGTCGTCCCCACTGCATATGGTCCCCAAGTCCACCCCTGGAGATTGGCGTCCTTGCGGTGACTACCGCTTCCTCAACCAAGTGACCCAACCAGACCGCTACCCTGTGCCCCACCTGCACGACTTCGTAGCCACTCTTCACGGAGCAACGGTGTTCTCTAAGGTGGACCTTGTCAAAGCCTACCACCAAATACCAGTAGAAGAAGCTGACATCGCAAAAACGGCCATCACTACGCCGTTTGGGTTGTTTGAGTATACCCGGATGCCCTTCGGACTTCGGAACGCGTCGCAGACTTTCCAGAGGTTTATCGACGAGATAACACGGGGCCTGGATTTCTGCTACGCGTATGTCGATGACATTCTCGTCGCCAGCACTTCTGCTGAAGAACATGCAAAACATCTGCGACAACTCTTCGCTCGCCTCGAAGAATATGGTGTACTCATCAACCCAGACAAATGTCAGTTTGGTGCTAGTGAAATTAATTTTCTGGGACATCGCATCAACTCCGACGGTCTTCGCCCGCTCGGCGATAAGGTGCAAGCAATTCGGGATTACCCTCAGCCACTTAACAAACGAAAACTTCGGCAATTTCTGGGATTGATTAACTTCCACCGAAGATTCCTCCCAGGTTGCGCACGCACACTGCATCCTCTGAACAATCTCCTGTCATCCCCGGGGCCGAACACCGCTCCGTTGGAGTGGACGGACCAGGCCCAGGCCTCGTTCGTGCAGATCAAGGAAGACCTGGCGGCAGCTGCGCTCCTCGTCCACCCTCAACCAGATGCAGCTACACGCCTCATGGTGGACGCATCTGATGGCGGCGTTGGCGCGGTGTTACAGCAGCTTGTTGGTGAGACTTGGCAGCCTCTGGCATTTTTCTCCAAGTCCCTGTCACCTGCGGAAACTCGCTACAGCACCTACGGACGCGAGCTGCTGGCAGTCTACATGGCGGTCAAGTACTTCCGCCACTTCTTAGAGGGACGGTCATTTCACATCATGACAGATCACAAGCCCCTGATCCACGCCTTCACCACCAAAACGGATGGGCTCTCCCCAAGAGAAGTTCGACATCTGGCGTTCATATCGGAGTTCTGCACCGACATCCGCCATGTAAAGGGAACTGAAAACACCGCAGCTGACACTCTCTCACGCGCCAACGTGGGCAGCCTTTCGTCCGCTACTCCCATTGATTTTGACAAGATGGCAACGCTTCAGAAAGAAGATGAAGAGCTCAGAGATCTACGTGCTTCTTCAGCCACGCTAATTTTTCAAGACGTGCGCCTACCGACATGCACTCAGCTCCTCACATGCGACATTTCCACTGGCACCGCACGCCCGTTCGTGCCGAAGTCCTTTCGACGCTCAGTGTTCGACTCTCTGCATAACCTCTCCCATCCCGGAATCCGTGCCACACAAGCATTGGTGAAAGCCCGATATGTGTGGCCGGGCATGAACACGGACATTCGAGATTGGGCTCGCACATGCACCCAGTGTCAACGCTCTAAAGTGCAGCGTCACACTGTTTCTCCGCTCTCTCCATTTCTGCCGCCCGATGCCCGGTTCAGCGAGGTTCACATTGACATTGTGGGACCTCTGCCGCCCTCACAAGACTGTTCCTACATACTCACTTGTGTGGATCGCTTCACCCGCTGGCCGGAGGCTATCCCCCTGCGAGACATGTCCGCGGAAACCGTCGCTAAGGCGTTTCTGCAGACGTGGATTGCGCGCTTCGGTACACCTTCTAAGGTCACAACCGACCGTGGTCGCCAGTTCGAATCTGCCCTCTTCAGAGAGTTCCTAACGCTCTTGGGAACACATCGGATTCGCACCACCGCCTATCACCCCGCAGCTAACGGCCTGGTGGAGCGGATGCACCGGCACCTGAAGGCATCAATCACCGCTTACGGCGACCCCTCACGCTGGACCGAAGTGCTGCCACTCGTCCTCCTGGGCATGCGCACAACACTCAAGAGTGACCTGCAGTGCACCAGCGCTGAGTTGCTCTACGGCACTACCCTGCGGCTCCCCGGCCAATTCGTTGCAGCCAACATAGACGAGCAGCTTCCAGATCCCCTCCAGTACGTGTCACGCTTACGGACAATCATGGACAGCCTCCGTCCGACACCAACCCGTGCTAAACAGAGTCCTACCGTGTACCTGTTTAAGGAACTTGACACTTGTACCCATATATTCCTGCGCCGCGATGCTGTGAGAAAACCCCTCCAGCCGCCGTACGACGGCCCGTTTAAAGTCATTCGTCGTGGTACGAAACACTACACAATCGAAGTGCGCGGGCGATCAGAAGTGGTTTCGGTGGATCGATTAAAGCCGGCTCACCTCGAGCATTCAACTAGTGCGCCGGCGAGAAATTCTGCAGACTCTCCGACGACGCGTGGTGGACGAAGGGTTCGTCAACCCGTACGATTTGTGCCGTAACAATTTGTGCATGTATTAATTTAATTTTTCAACATCTCTGGAAGGGGGAGTAGTGTGGACATCGCACGTCTAGTTTCGGTTTCGCCACACGTTTAGTTTCGGTTTCGCCTCCGGCGTCTGGCAACTAGAGCCTGCTGAGGTATGCCGCCGGAGGGCGCGGGCGTTTGAGTAAACAGTTTCGAGTTACACTTTCGGGATCGGAGAGACACGCCCGCACCGGGGCCAACGCGCTCATGTATTGCTGTACCTTGTGTAGTCAAGTATAATAAATAGTTTTATGTACCGGACATCTCTACTACAACCTCATGTTCAGCAAAGGCGAAAAGAGAAAAGAAATATTAATTTTTGACTTTTTGAAAGTATTATGCATGGAAATTAACGAGACCGAATAATCGATTAATTAATCGATTAAAGGGTGGCGATTAATCGGGTTAAAACTTTTAATTGACGCCCAGCCCTAACTGATTCATTACGTGTTTTACTCCAGATAATAGTACGTAATCATCTGCGCACAGTTTTATGCGAACATCGATAGTTTTCACGATATGATTAATAAATATTAAAAACAACACAGGTGCCAGAACCGTGCCCTGGGGCACTCCTGTGACAACTGGTGATACGCTAGGTACGTTATTGTTGAATGTAACATACTGCCTTCTACCCTTAAGGTAATTCTCGAACCATTTCAATAAGGAGTACGATTTAAAAATTGTGTGTATTTAGCTAAAAGTTTGTCGTCGGATACCTTATCGAAAGCTTTTGCCAGGTCTAGAAAGAGGACGTCCGTCTGAGAACGGTGATTTAAGCATTCGCTGAATTCGTGGGTTGTTTACAGAAGTTGAATTACAGTTGAAAGTCCCCTCCTTAAACCAGGCTGTTTTTAAGTTATTATTGAGTGAACTTATAGATGGCTATTGATGTGCGAGCATATGATATGTTCTAGCATCTTGCAGCCTTGTGAAGCCATTCATATTGTTCGATAGTTTGGGACGTTTCTTTCCTTTCCGAATATTAGGATGGGAACTATTTTCGAAAGTTTCCAATAATCAGGAAGGAAACCGAGATACAAGGATTTTTTGAAGAATAACATGCAGGTATTTAGAAATCCATCTAGCATATCGCTTCAAAAAAGCTATGGAAATTAAATTTGGGCCTTGAATTTCTTTATCGTCAAGGTTAAGCAATGATGACAAGATACCTTCTTCAGATACCTGCAGTTCATTGATCGCTGGTATATCATCTAAATTTTCAACAGGTCGTACATAATGGGTATCAGCGGTGAACACAGAAACAAAATTACTATTTAGGCTTTTAGCATTTACGGATGCTTCTTGTGTTAAAGTACCATTTATTAAGAAACTGTTTGCCATCTTTTGCTTCGACCGAATGTGTCTCCAGAATTTTTTTTGGCGAGGATACCAAAATGTTTGGAAGTGTATAGTTGAAGTACCGTGCCTTAGCTGAGGATATTGTTTGTCTATGGGTTTGGTTCAGTTCAATAAGGCGATATTTGTCCGTTAATGCAGCTGTTTTCTTCCTTTTTTTTCGCAGTCTTGAAATTCTACGGCCAGTTTAGGTTGCCTCTCGTGTAATCCCAGTATTCTGCTTGTTTATTGTTTTATTTTTTGTTGGAACATATTTAGTAATGGTTTCGACAATAATTGTCTCAATGAGTTCTACAAATCGTTCGTGCACACATTTTCTGTTTCTGAAAAAAAGCAAAATAAGTCGAGGAAAAGTTCGAGATGATCTAAGATG